CTTAATTTCTTTTCCTATTTATGTTTATTTTGAGGGTTTTCTAAACAATCTGTGCTAAGTGCTTTTTATAGGACTAAAATTACAAACTCCAAATACAGCTCAAAAGAACCACTGAGACAACAGAAATGTTTTCCAAATAATAAAACTGTATTTGATTATTATCAGCTTGCGACTTCAACAAAATATTGTCATTGCTCGTAACCGGACATAAGCCTTGTACTGAGTTTCCAAGGCATCAGAACAGAAGCTAGTCAGATTTGCACTGTCTGAATGTTCTTTGATCTGCTTGCAGCTTTGGCTGTTTCTTTTAATTGTGAAAGCAGTTTTGACAGATTTTCAATGGGTAATTTATTTTTCTTGTATTTATTTTTTCTTTTCTTGGATGCAGGTCTGGACCTGGACACATTTGGTTTAGCAAAAAAGACAAAGAAACTATCTAACATAAGTGGAAGTTACTATATAAAAACTCAGATGTAATGTAGAGCTACAGACTAGGGAAGAAAAAGCAAGGTGCAAAATTGTGTTAGCAAGCAAAAAAACCAACTCCAAGTGAACCCTACAGGGGTGAAGAAGGAACTGGCAACAGAAGCCTGGCATTCTTCCTGGTGAGGGAGTCCAGATGCTGATGACTCACCATAACCCCACCACCCTCACCTGAGTGAGACCATGACCTTGGGGCCCAGGCAAAAAGGGGAGAGAGGTAAACACAACACCAGGAGAATGGGAAAAACTAATGTGTGTGTGGAGCAATTAATTATTCCTATAATAAAGAATAAAACTTAGTAATGGTAAGTTAGCATAAACTTTCTGTAATAACTAATAATTCTTGAATGACACTCCTAAAGTTTCAAATATGTTAATAGATTTTTCACTTTATAAATAATGTGTGTTTTACCTTTGTCATAAATAAGGTTTTGAGTGTACACAAGCTTGTGTACATTGTGTTCATTGCACAGGCAATGAATTTCTGTCTGAAGAATATATATTTCCTAAGAAACTTAGAGTTTTGGAACAACCCATGCTATGTATAAGTGTCAATTTGCTGTACTCAGCCATCTGGGAGGAATAATTCATTAGGCTTTTTACTAAAGGTAGAAGTGACACCAGAAAAATGATAGTGTTTTATCCCTCTTTGCAATAAAACACTATTTAAATCCAAATAAAGAATCACAGCTCTACATTTTGGGTTTGTAAAGAGTTATGTCTTTGCTACTTTAGAGGACAGTTCAAGAGCAGCATTTCATTCTCTGTATTTCAACTTATATCTAATTAAAAAAAAATCTGCTCCTCAAGTGTTGTTGATGGTATGTATTTATTGAGGGAGAATTTTCAGCTGTGTTGTGTATATATGTTAGCCTTCACTGGATAAGTATTTCATGCATTATTTTAAAAAACATTATTAATGGGGTATCTTGTTTACAAATACAGCATCACAGCCTTATCCAGGTAGCCCAATCTGTGGACCAAAGCAACGTCAGACTGGGTTGCTCAGGGCTTTATCCAGTTGTGTCTTAAAAACATTAGGGAGCTGAGACTACTTAAATTCCACTGCCTGATTTAATGAGTCCTGCCACTCATCTTAGTAAGCAGCCTGTCCCTGCCTTCTCAGTAACATTCTCATGGGTGCTAGAAGGCTGCTGTAGGTACTCCTGAACCTTTCTTGTCTCCAGTTTGAACAAGCATGGTTCCATCTCTCTGTGGCAGTGTCTCTTCTCTATCCCCTGATCATCTTGGTCACTCTCTGCTAAGCCTGCCCCAACTGATCAATGCCTGGTTTGTGCTGGAGGGCCCAGTACTGGCCACAGCACACAGATGTGGGCCAGGAAGTGCCTAATACAAAGGGATAAGCGTTTTCCCTGATGTAGTGGCTACCCTCCTGTTAATGTGGCTCAGGATATTAGTGTCCACACGCTGGATGGTGCTTAGCTGGCTGTAGGCCGGTTCTCCCCAGTCTTCTCCAGCAGAGTTTCTTCCTTGCTGGTCAGTCCCCAGTCTGCACTGTTGGAAGCAGTGTCCTGGATGCAGGACTCTGTACCTGCTCTTGCTGAATTTTGTCAGTGTCCTGCTTGGCCCCTTTCCCCATCTGTTGTTGCTGAGCTCCACCTCCTGCCCCTAAGCCCATGTGCTCAGGCCATGGTTTGGTGTTACTCACGAAACTAATGAGGGCGCGCTCTCTCTTCTTCCAGAGTTATTCACAGACACTAGACAAAACAAGGCGCCAGGACAGGCCCTGAAAAAACATGATCATTAACAGCTTTTGGTAGGTTACAAAACACTAAGCACTACACTTCTATTCCAGCCGGACTCAGGCCCATCAAATAGTCCACCCCTCCACCAAATGAGGCACAGAAATTATGTGGAAGACCATGTCGTAGTGCCGTGTCTGGACAGCTAGGGTACTATGACTCCTTCCTCATGCAAGTAACCACGTTATTTTGATACAAAGTACAACGCTTGGGAAGTAGTTACCCAATAGTACTAAAAGAATTCTGTATCAAACTCAGAAGAAAGGACTCAGATCTCCAAGGAGCATACCTGACAGAAACTCTCCTGATGGTTTAAGGCCTAAAAAGCCTCTTCAAAGCATCTCTTATGTTTGAAAAAATGCTGAGTAATGTGAAAGATTATTTATTAGTAAGAACATTTGGATTTGTTTGAAACAAGATTTTGATTACTAGTCAGTCACCATGAGGGTTACTTCTATGCTCACTAAGCAAGAGTTAAGTTTTTAATTTATACCAGTACATTAAATGTGTGAAAAAAATTAATCATAATATAGTGCAAGTTGTGTTACATAAACATTGACTACTCTGTTAAGATGTGAATAATTAACTCTGAATGAAGATGATGAAATGTCATTTTCCAAACATCATAATGAGGCTGCCAAAAAAACACTTGCACGTCTGTAAATACAGAATAGCTGTATAAAGACTTGTATACAAACTAGTGAACCATTGACCCTATTTCTTCCATTATTTCCTTTTCCACTTCTCAGTATGCCACAACTACTCACAAAACTACTAGAGTGAGGTTTGGACTTCAGGAAAGATAGCCAAGGAAATGGGAACAATAATTTCTTTTACTACCTATTTTCTGTAATCTAAGTACCCACTTCAGTTCTGCAAAGGCCATAGGTTAGTAAGAACCTGTGTGTGTGGGAGAAGTGCCTTTCTATTCTTTTCCACCCCTTCCTCATGAATCTGTTATGAAGTTCAGAGAGGTTCTAAATAGTCTTTAACAAAGGGATTGTCTTAGCATTCCTGTCTGGATTTCTGAGCTGCTCAATAGGCCTGTAGAGAGGCAGAACCTCAGGCTTCCTTTTTATCAGGCAGATATATTATTGCTGCTTTTTATGCATGGTGGCATTGGAGATTAGATTTAATGATCTCTCTGATAAGTCTAGTTATTTGCTGGATATATATTTCACACAATACCTTCCATTTTCCCATATATTTGCTTTAGGAAGATTTAGCAACACATTTTGTGGACTTCTGCCATTCAGAAGTCTCTGAAGTGTGGAGCTTAAAATGTACTGTTTGGCTTCTAACATTTAATGGGCCTTTGCTGCCAAATTTTGTTTAAGGCTGTGGTGCTTTGGCAGACTGATCTGTTGCCCTGGGAACACTGCTAAAGCCCCAAATGTTTAACTCTTGGTGTCCTAGTACAATCTGGAATAGAGATACTATCATGTTCATTTTTGAAGGTTCTCATTTCTCAGGGTAATGAGACTTGTGCTCAGAGTAAGCTCCATAAGCTAAGCCAGTGCCTTCCTACTTAGTTGTTAAGGCAATTAATTTTATTGACTGGGGAGTTTGGGGGCTATATTCTTATCTCTTTACTGTTTCAAAATACCAAACAGTCATTTGAATATTTTCTTATGGCTTTAGTTGATTCAGTGTAAAACTATTGAAATGAAACAATGTTTTAAACCAGGTAGTTGAATTTAATTGATGTTTTGACCCTAGCTCTGCTTTCTGCTCAATTTTCCATTGTGACCTTTCTGGGACTGTGATTGAGATCCATCAGCATCTCTAGAACCTCTAGCAGAAAGACCCACTTCTGCTGTGGACATGACTGTGAATACTCAGGAAATGGGATAATCCAGTGTTTTGCCCAAAATATTGTGTTCTGATGTAGCTGAGGATCACCAAATCGTTTCTGTGGGAAAGGACATCTTGGTGTTTGGAAGAGCACTACTCAGAACAAGGACAACCTGCAGTTGTTCACATTCAAGTGTCATAAACAAAACTCAGGCCCAGCTCATTAAAACACAGCTGCCTGCTGCTAGACAGTGGGAGCTTATTTGTGAGAGATCTGCAAGAGCAGGGCTGCTGCATGGGGGTGAGGGAGCACAGCAAAGTCAACCACAGCCTCAGGGCACCTGGGCAATGCAGTGACAGTGCCAGGAGCCAAGCAGTCATTAGGTGACAGCCAGGTAAGGAGCCACGTCCTAGTTCAGTTTGGGAAGTGGTGGAGTCACCATTTCTGGGGATACTTAAAAGGTGGGCTTGTGTCAATTTGGGGCATGGTTTAGGGATGGACTAGCAAAGCTGGATTACTTGTTGGGCTCGGTGACCCTTAAGGTCTTTTCCAAACCAAACGACTCTTTCATTCTGTGTATCTGGGGGGGGGGGGGGGGGGGCAGGAGCTGACGGCTTAGGGAGCAGCCAAAATGGGCCTGCTGGGCTGAGGGGTGCGGGGAAGCTGGGCATGGCCGGTTGAACAGTGATGCCTAAATGCGGCCTGATGCGACGCTCTAAGATTCAATTTTCTTCATTTATCTTTTTATTATCGTTATGAATTTATCCCTCCCTCCCCCCGTGCACTTACGTAACGGATCTTTCCTTCCTGCCCCTGATTGACAGCCGGAGAAGCTGCCGCCGCCGTTCCCGGGGAGGACCGGCCCGGGCCGGCCGGCGGGGCGAGGCGGCGCTCCCAGGGAAGGCGGCGCTCCCGCCGCGATCCTGCCGCGCCCCTGCGCGCCCGCGGCCGGAGCAGCGGGGTCAGCGGGGACAGGGGGACAGCATGGTGGTGCGGCCGCTGCTGCGCGCCGTCATCATGGGGCCGCCGGGCTCCGGGAAAGGCACCATCTCCGCTCGGATTATCAAGCACTTCGGCGTGAAGCACGTCTCCAGCGGCGACCTGCTGAGGGACAACATGCAGAAGAAGACAGGTGGGCGCGGGGACGCGGGTGGGGATGTGTGCGCGGCGGCGACGACCCCTCCTCCTGTCCCCGTCCCGCCGGAACGGTTCCCTCGCAGCGCCGCGGGAGCTCGGCGTGACACAGCTCCGCTCCGGGAAGGGACACACGCTCCCAACACGCATTCCTGCCCTTCCCCTCCGAGAAGGGAGGGCGCTTCCCTAATGGGGTTTGCTGCTCCCCCCTCCGTGTGCCCGCCCCGCAGGCAGAGGTGGGGTGACTTCACACAGCTCTTCTGGAGGCCAGAGGCCACCGAAGTGGGCCTCATATCTGCAGCCCTGGGTCCTCCACACGCTGACACTTGCCAGCCTCTTCATGAAAGTGGACGGGGTTGTCCTGTTTTCGTTGTTTTGTTTCACCTCATTGCTTCCTTGTCTTGGGTGCTTTTAGTAAGCACTCAGTGGTTTTTGTACGTGTTTCTAATAGTTCTGATAGCTTCTCATGGTTTCTCCAGCTGGAAGCATCTTAAAAGAGAAAAATATTCACATCTTTTAACAGGCAGGTCCAGAGGAGGGGTTTTGGGCAATCAGACTTTTTTTGGATGTTCATTTGATGGCTAGAAGTAGGGGCACCTGGAATTGTTAACACCTATTCCAAAATTACGCCTAGTCCTGAGCTGGCAGGCATAACATAGTGATGCTTTCAAAAAAACAATAAAAAAACAAAAAACCAAAAAACCCAAACCCCTCCCCACCCCCGCAAAACAAAAACAATGTGCAAAATTTTCAAACTGCATAGCTTTTAAAATTATTATTGTCTTATGAGTTCATATCATGATTAGGTTTCAGCAAGGTCTGTGTTTACATACAGTGATGCTTATACTAGATAAATATACTAATTACTCTTGCTGAATAGGTCTAGCTTGGTCTCTGGCCTCAGCTGAGATACCACAGTCCCTCTCTCTGGTGGATTTTTGCAATATGGAAGGTTCCCTCCTGACTTCCACATCTGCTTTTCTATATGGTGGGGTGAAAAGCCTTGTAAGAACCATCTTAGGCTGTGCGTGATGAAGTATTATTATTTCCAACAACTTCAAGCTGTAGAATATTCCATTCACTTGTGTAAGTATCACTTTAGTATTATGCCAAGGTAACTGGTAGTCTCAGTTTTGGAATACTCATAAGCATGTTTGAAGGTGAAGCTGTGATGTGATTCCCATGTCTTCACACAAACTTTATTTACTCAGTAAGGATAATGACTTCAGTACCATGACTGACTTTACTGTAGTTGATATTATAGATACTGTAAGTTAAGAATTTGTGAGGAGTACACCTGTGTAGACAGACCTGATCATATTCATGCTATTTCTATTTGGTTTCTATCATATATTTTTATTTACAGAGGATCACAAAACTGTTCTGTTATGAACTTTCAGTGGAAGATGTGGTGGGTAGCCATTCCAAGAAAACAAAGGAAATGTTATTTTACCAAGTGTTTTGAGGTTTAAAATGTTTGCTAAATACTTTTGGTTTTGTGCAAGACCACAGAGCACCAGAATCACGCTAAAGGTTGTGCGAGAAGAGGAAATTCCAAGTGGAAATATCATATTGCTTGAATTGAGCTGGGAGCCTGAAGTGATGCAGAGAAGTGATTATGCAAAGAATTGTACGTGGGTTGGACAGAGGAAGGAGAGCAAATATGTGAAATGGAAGTTTAGCAGAGACATTAAAAACCAGAATATAAGGAAAGAAGTCAGTGGACAGCTTAAGAGGTGAAGTTTGCTCTAAATTAGCTACAGCAGAATTTACCAGAATCTGCTACAGAGTTTCTCATTCACTAGTAAACCTAGATGAAACTCTATTGCAATTTCATTGAAAGTCAGTCACTAGTTTCAGAAATGGTTCCCAGAGGGTTGAGATGAAGTATGAGGTAGGAGGACTAGGTAGTACACTGAAAATAGGAGAGCAACTGAGAGGCAACTCAGACAGCCTAGACAAATGCAGTCAAGGCAAAGATCCATGAGTTTTGACAACAACAGAAGAGTCCTGCAATTTCCAGTTCTTTGGGAAAGGAGTTACACTAAGATGGGCAGTTAAAGCCCTTGGAAAATTAGATATAGCTAATAGTAGTTATATGGTGCAAATTTTCTATTTGCTGTCTTGTGAAAATGGACATTGTTGAAAAGTCCTGTTGAAGATGAGTGTTCTTATCATTCTGCAGTTATTATCATGTTCTTTTGGACAGTGGAGAGTCTGTGACCACTTCTCTAATGCTAAGGTAATTATTGTCTGGTTATGGCTAGAGCTTGACTGCTGTAATATGGTTAGAACCTGCTGATCCTTTGTAAATCCATGGAACATGGATACCTGTCATCACCTACAAAGAAAAGAAACCTGTGTTACCTGTAATTCTGAAGATTGCCATGCCTTTATGGTTTCAGATCCAACCTGTAAAAAACCCTAAACCAAATAAAACCTACAAAACCCCACAAAATCCCACTCCCAATAGCAGGAGTGGGGAGGGGGAACCTGCTCTGAGCTAGTGCATATAGATGACTATTTGGGTACGGTTCTGCCTATTTTTTCCCCTCTGTAATAGCGACTTTCTAAATTACCTGAGTTCTGTAAAGGGAGGCAAAAGGCAGCGTTTTTCAAGCTTTGTTGGTCTAATAATGGCTTGCCATATTCTAAACATTTCTGGGCCCAAAAACTCATGAATCTTTCTAAAGTAAGTTAGAATTGCTTCCTGTGAACCTTGTCTTGCAAATATTTTTAGATTCTTGTCGCTAGAGCAATGCTGCAACATAAATCAGTAGCAGACCCAAGCATAAAGTACACATTAAACTATCTAGACATGATTTATTCCTTCTCTCAACTCACTTTTCCAGGGTACATGGTTCAAAGCACACCAGAATAATAAAAAAGATATGAAGAAGGGAGGTAGGGAAGAGACACTTTGTACACAGACAGACAGTCATCTTCTTTCCAGTTTGTGATGTGCTGGAGGACTCAGGCACCACAGTCTGACTCTTTTCCATATAGTGAGCATGTTTTGAAGTCTGGACAAGGTGCACAGTGCCTATTTCTAAATGGTCTTTGTACTTTTCAAAGCCTGACTACAGATGTGAACAGCCAGTAAGGGAAAATTGTTCTTTTATTATTTTTTTTTTCTCATCACCAAATGCAAATCCTATTTGCATTGTTTGGGGTATGTACTGCTTTTCAGTTGCCTCACCTGAAGAAGGGCCTCTGTCCTGTTGTACATTTCATCCACTGAGTGATGGGTCTGGCTTTCTGCTGAAAGTGGTCATATCTGCCTGGGTATCTCCATCCATCTCAATCTCTCTTTAGTTTTCTGTAACTAGACCTTAACTGGTTGCAAGTAAAGGCTTCTGCAGACCCACAATAAAACCAGTCTAGCTGCAATTCTGTGTTATGTAACATAATTGGGTAATTGCTTTATAAATGAAAGATATGGCAACTTTGTGCCTAGGACACAACCCAGGCAACTGAATTTTTTCCTGGCTATATGCATGATTTGGGTGAACTACAGCATGCTACTGCCTGCCATGTAGGAGCATAGTGTGATAGCTGGAACGACAATGCGTGGATGGGATTTTAGTGAGCCAGTGGGATAAATGACTGGTACTAAATGTTAGTCAGTTCCATGGGAAAATACTAGTGTCTGTATACTCCCATAAATAGTGTATACTACCTATAAACACCCTCTTGCCACTCTAGTAATCATAAAAATACATATCTGGCAAGCATGTCCCACTGCATACTGTCAAAGGCATTTATGTTTGTAATGAAGCCTAAGTGTAAATTAATAACTGGCCTCTAAGCTAAGAAAATAAATTTTCTTTTCAGGAAGTCTGAGGGCTGATATCTTAATCAACTTGTTTCCTTTCTATTTTTTATTTTGAAGACTCTTGGTTAACGGCCTCTCCTCACTTTAGTTTTTAGAACTTCATATTTCAAATACATACTAGTAAATTTACTCGGAGGGTGTGTGTTTTGCCCTACAGGTGGATCTAATTAATCTGATATGTGTTTGTATGGTCAGATCCTAGTTGATCATCTTGATATTTTTTAATTTTGGTGTAAGCATGCTGTCTATCTTGTTTACAACTTTTCTCTGTCACCCGATCAAAACAATTTTTTTGCAGGCTTGTAGCTTTTTCTCACTTGCTGGAGGTCAGAGATAGTGTAATCCACCTTTTACTTTTGCAGAAGTGGGAATCCTTGCCAAGTCCTACATTGACCAAGGGCAGCTTATTCCAGATCACATCATGACACAACTAATGCTGAATGAGATCAAAGGTTTAGACCAGTACAACTGGCTATTGGATGGTAAGTTATCGTGTTGGATATCACTATATATGGAGAGAAAATCTGCTCTGGAAAACTTGGGACTGCTTTGGTAGCTGGTAGCCATCTTGTTGTGAAACTTTCAGCTGATAGTCTGCCCCAGTTTCTTTGGCTGACAAATGCTTTGGATGGACCCTGCCCTCAGAACATTACAGAGATATTTAACTCATGTTAAAAAGGGTAGTTCAACACTACAGAAAAATTTCAAAACTGGCAATTCTGGTATTTTTTATGATAATTCATATGGTATTTCCCCATTAAAATAGGCATTGAGAAGTTTCTTTTTTAAAGTATTTTCTTATTAAAGTCCTTGGGGAATGGAAAATTTTTGAAGGATGAGGCCTTGGAATTATCTAAACAGCAAGGCAGGAATGTGATGCAGTAACAAGGTAAGTATGCAAAAAGTACTGCAGCAGTGTGGAGTGTAATTAAAACTATTGCTCAATTGCCCTAAGAGGTCTCCTTCATTTGCTGTTTGGTTCTGTTCTCCAGAATGAACTGTTTTGCAGTTCTGCAGTGTAAGCTCATTGCTTCAGCACTCTTGCTAGAGAGAAAATGCATTTGCTGTTGTCTCATGAGCTGGATGGCTCTTGTTATTCCAGCCCCTGGGAATACATTTGGATGCCCAGCACATATATAGTGTCTGGGCTGGATACGTGTTTTTTCAGACTCTAGTCACAACCCGCCTCTGTAGATAAAGTAATTGGTGTGGCTTTCTATTTAGAGGGAGTGAAAAATCCACAGTGGCCTCTGTCCCTGAGTGCTTTATTATAGTTATATTTATATAGTTGCTCCTACATACAGTGATATGTTCTCATGGCTTTAGTCACAGCTGGGCTCCTTCCTGAGAGAAAGCCTTTATTCCCACAGTGAACAGTACAATGAAACCTACACCACAAAGCAGAGAATGGCAGATATTGGGTTTTTTTCCTTTAGTTTCAGGTCCCATGGACACACAGTTCCAGTCTTGTGGATCTGGATGTGTAGCAGTATAGCAGTATAGTAGTAGTAGCTGTGCCCGCTGGCAGCTCTCAGCAGGAGGATTGTGTCAAGACCATAAGAGAATAAATCAATTTCTACTGCATGTTAATGCGCTCCTGCCTTTAAACTTATGCAGCAGAAAGTTTGTCTGCATCAGCATTTGTAATGAGACCCAGTGAATTACTCTAGGGATAGCTCTGGCATAATGGGCTTCACAGGAACAACACTGTTCTGCTGAAATGTTAACCCATAATCTTAAGTTTGCTAACTGCAATGCAGAACAAACAGATGGGGTCAGTTAGCTCAAACTAGAGCTGCTGAACCGCTTGCATGTTCACTTAGCCAAACACCCATTTACTGCCTTAGAACAGGTTGGTGGCTTCTGGAGTCATAGCAGATGTAGCAGTGTGAGTCATATGTGTCTGTGGGTATAATCCATTTAGATTTACATGCTGTATAATCTAGAGCACTTTTCTCTGTGTTCCTGGAATCTTTGTAATTCATCACCTCTTGCAGATCTTTTTCTGTAGAGAGAGAACACTATGTAGAAAATGTCAGTTCAATTTCAATGAAATACTTTGCTAAAAGCACTTCAATTTGTTGAGGAATTTTCTCATTACTCAGTCCAGAGCAAAATCAAATTTCCAGCTGCAATACTTAGAAACATGGTGGCTGCGAATAGCAAGAAAAAACAGCAGTTCTTGAACAGTGTTCAACATCAGTGTTGAAGACCTGGCTCTTCCTCTGCTCTTACCATTTAGAAGCACTTTCATGCAATAATGTGAATGTGTGAGAAATAGAATGAGGGCAGCTCATGACTGTGATGCAAGCCAGGTGCAAAAGACTTAATACACAAGCAAGGACTTGGTCTGAGCTAATAAACTCTGTCTTTTTGTAATGTTTTTCCTTACTCATGCAATGGACAGATCAACACTATGCAAGAGTTTCTTAAGTTTGTGTCTATTGGTACTTGCCTTTACGAAGAAGTTTACTTGTACAGTATGATGCAAATTAGAAGCTACTGAAGAAAATGAGACTATTCTAGAGCTTTTTGAGGAGAGGAACTGTTCCAGTGAGTATAGGACACAATAGCATGTTCTGCAGTAGCTTTGACCACTGAAGGTCTTTGCTCAATACTTCATTTCAAATTCTTTGTGGAGATGTTGCCTTTCTTGTTCTTTGTTCCCACTGCACTCCTCTTAAGTTCCACTAGATTATCTAATAGTTTAAGGCATAGAATAGGGAGCCACAGAGTTCATGGGGGAAAATGCAGCACCTTTGAAGTGAAGAGACAGATTCCTGATCAGCCTGAGTGTTCTCACAGTCATCATATCTGAGGGCAGTTTGATATACTAAAACTTTCACAAACCTTCTAAATCCTGTACTGCCTCTGGTAAATATATCTGGCTTACTGCAACTGAGTAAAACAGGTTTGTAATCACCACCACCTTAAGCCAGACTTACACAGCTCTGAAAGTAAGATATATCACAAATGTTTCTAGGTGGTTCTGAGGGAAACTCTTCACTGAATGTTTTATTATTCCAAATGTGTATACAGTGCTTTTATTCAGTGTAGTGGTATATGGTGTATATATAAATACAGAGTCTTTTTGCACTTATTTTTTGCACTCTTGGGAAGATTATTAGCTGAAATGAAGAAATAAAAGCTGGGAGGCATTTAAAAAGTTAAAATGCCATGACACACTGAAAGATATTGGAAAATCTAATGTCTATTCCATCTTTATAGAACATGACAATGCTTTTTGGTTTTTTTTTTGCCGTGTAACAATTATTTTCTTTAATGACTCAATCCAGGTAATTTTTGCTATAACTCTGCTTTCAGAATTTTATGAAGTTGTTTCCTTTAAAAAGGTTTCCCCAGAACAGTTGCTCAGGCAGAAGCGCTCGATAAAGAATGTCACATAGACACTGTGATTGACCTAGACGTGCCATTTGAGACCATAAAGTGTCGGCTTACAGCACGCTGGATCCACCCTGCCAGTGGCAGAGTTTACAATCTTGAATTCAGTCCTCCCAAAGTGCAGGTAAGGAATATGCATTGCTGATGGCACTAAATAAGTACTGCATTGTGTTTGCTAGCTGCAGTAAAATATTGTTTGCATAATGTGTTTCAAAACACAGCAGCTCAGAACAAAAAGGCTCATGTCATTTCTTGGGAGTGCAGAATCTTTCTGTTAACACCCTGCTGGTATTGAGGGTATGTTAGTGACCTGGCAGAACCTCAAGCTGTTGGACAATGTTTTTTGTCCCCTGCAGAGCAGAACACCATGATGTTTTGTAAGCACTTGTTAAAGCTGTTCACTGATCTGGAATACTGTCTGCCTTGTGCACTGGCACAGGATCTGGGCATGGTCTTAGCCTATTTGCAGCCTGTACAGTCCAAAATGTAGATTTCTTTTCCTTCCTCCAGAGGAGTAATGCTTTATATATAGGAAACCAGTCAGAGGAATCCACTTAATGCTTTCCCTGTGTTTATATTTAACCAAGATGGGTATTTTCAAGGGAAGAGCTGCAGTATTGCAAAACTGGATGTAGAAATTTTCAAGTCAGGGAAGCTTTTCAAGAGATTAATTTTTAACAGATTTTTATGACTTGAGATATCCTAAAGAGAAGATTGAAGATAAAGACTGTACATTGTTAAATTTTTTCAAGAACAATTTGCTTTAGTGCAACTCAGCTAAAACTGTATTTTATCCTTAACTCTAAATAACTTAGCTGTTGTGGCATCACATTTCACTTGGAAGCTCTATTAATTTACATCAGATATACAGCAGGCCCTGGAGCTTTCGAATTTCAGTGTTGCAGGAAAAGAGGCCAGCTTGAAATACCAGGTAAGCACTGGAAGTGAGCAACTGAAAATATTGCCTTTGTTTTGTTTAAAACAAGGTGCTTAAAGTCATGGTTATTTTCAATTGCAGAAAAGCACAGGCAAGATGGAACAGAGAATTCTCAGACTTACCAGAGTAGGCTTCAGCTGCCAGAGCTTTGCTGTTTAGGATCTGTCTTACCTTTCACTAATTAGCAGACTTACCACAACACAGTGGACTGCAATACTTAAATTGAAAACATGGATTAGAGCTAAACAGGTGAAATACAGTTGTCTCTATTATCTTAATAAACCTGCAAAATGCTTGCTTACTTAGTAGGAACATTCACACATTAGGTCCCTACCTCTGTAGGGAAAGCTTCAACTGACTCTCATGCCAATTTTTTGTACAGCTGCTGTTAAATAATAACTCTTCCATCTTGCAACTTAAAATCAAAGGGCCATTAACTCCTTTGCCCATTTTAGTATTGTCAAATGAAGGTCCAATTGGTCTCTTATTTCTTGTTATACAGGAATGTATTACTAACAGTATTCTCTTGTACGTGAAGGTTTTGTCTTCATATTCCCCACGTTCTGTGAATGTTCCAGAGGACAAATTAGTCAAATTAGTCAAGTTACTATGATCTAATATTCATTGGCAATACTGACAAAACATTTTTAACTGACAGACTGTTTTACTGGAAAGTCAACAACTTAACATTCTAGACAAGAACACATGCAGCACCCTCTCTTTATAAGCAGAAATCTACATCCTGATTAAGTGGAAATTGATCATAATTTCAATAGAAAATTACATAAAGCATGCTTAAAGAGAAGTAAAAAGTATACTCTGGCATTTGCTTTTAACCATGATTAGGGCATTGATGACATTACTGGCGAGCCCCTTGTTCAGCGTGATGATGACAAGCCAGAGACTGTCAGCAAGAGGCTCCAGGCTTACGAGGCACAAACAAAACCCGTCCTAGAATATTATCGGTGAGTAGTAAAATCTGTTCTTCCACATTCCAAAATATTACTGTGCATCAGCATACTGATGGACAGATCTCTCTGCTACAGAATATATTATACCACAACAGTGAGTGTGGTGTGAGTAGCTGTGTAGCTTTCATGAACTCAGTCAGAAATCAACCCAGCAGAATAAGTATGATTTTCCAGGGCTGCATGAGACCTCCTGGAACCTGTGTGGTAAAATAACCTGCCACTGCAGCCAGCCACATTTAGCTTCATAAAGAATGCTATGCATTACTCAATACCTCCATAGTACTGCTATGAGCAACAACAGCTCTGGTGGGTGAAGCAACAGACAGTTCCTTCTTTTGCAAGAATTTACAATGTTTTGTTTTCTGGATGTATAAGTAGAACACTGCTAATAAGTGCAAGGGGTCAAGAAGCCATACACAAATAAAGAAACTGTTAGTGAGGATTTAAATGTGGCTGTTCTAAGAACAGGACTGTGACTGGGCACAGCTAGCAAGACTCTTTAGGAATAAGTAGCTAATTCAGAATTGTCATTTGCATTGTGGAGTGGAAATAAATTACTAGTTCTTTTAAGAATCAAAATTATACACAATATTTCTCCTAATGTAAAGCTGCAAGCATCATATTGCTGATTCGTAGCAGGTCACCATGCGGAGCTCTAGTCTTACCTTGCCTAGACAAAGAAATCAGACTCTGACAACATCAATGGTTGTCCTTTTTGTATTTCCATATTCACCACCCTTCATTGTATTCTTCCAGGACTGTTGAGCAGAAATCAATGTCCAGCCTGCATTTCCAATGCTACAGCTTTCTTGGTGTTACATCACATGCATATTTTCACACTCCCGCCAGGATAATCTTCAAGTGAGGTGGAGATTTTGGAACAATTAAACAATTTGACATCTCTAATGCTTTCTTCTTTTTCTTCTTTAGGAAAAAAGGGTTATTGAAATCATTTTCTGGAACAGAAACCAATAAGATCTGGCCACATATCTATGCTTTCCTTCAAACCAAGTTGCCAGATGTGAGCCAGAAAGATGCTACCAACCCCAGGTGAAAATGGGTCAAACTTCTGCTTATCTGTCATAGCTCACTCCCAGTTACATGAGATTCTGCAATCAAGGATTTGTCCAAGTAGTCTACCAGACTCATCAATAATTTAAGTCCAGTGCTGTCCTTAACTTACACTAAATTTTGTTGCCTGTGGTTACCACTTCAATGCTGTATTTTTTTATATTAAATATACCTAATTTCAAAAATACAGTAACTGTCCTTAACAAAAGTCAGTACTCTTGTGTCTCTTATTTGGCAAACACATTTGCAATATTGATTGATGAAGGAAACACATTTCAGAATACATCTTAATTAGAAAGCACATTGACTGATTTACTCAATCAGTAAATAAAGCAATGACAAGAACATGCAAGCACATTCCTTGAACATGTGCCTAGCTGGAGCTAGCCAGAAGCTGTGAAGAACAATGATGACTGGTCTACAAAGAGTTATTTCAAACCAGAGCTCCTGTGTATGGAAACTGATCTTATGGAAAGGTTAGCTTCGTGTTTGCTTACATAGATGTGACTTGATTTTGCTCACCATAAATTACACTTGTACCAGGGCAAATTATCTAAGCAAGTATTATGTTTCTATTTCTGCCCTCAGAGCAACTATTTTGCAGAAAATGGGAGTTTCAATGATGTGTAACACATTTGGTAAAGCCTCTAATTTTGTGTGACCCTGCAAGACTTCATCAGTAAAAAGATACTGAACAGATTGTGTAATCTGGTAAACCTGTAGCTAGCTAGCTGTATGATCTTGACCAGTGAATGCCTTTTGTACTATCTTTGAAAACATGTGCTCACTGATGCCAGTGACATGATTTCCAGTGGTCAAAATATTAACTTTGGCATATTACTGTAGCAACTGGACTGGTTTTCACGTGGTTCTTGTCTCTGACCAGCCCTTGTGTTAATTCACTACATAACTGGAAATACAAACTTCCACAGTGCACAGTTCTCAACAGTCCAGGCACTGCAGACACTGCTATTTTTCAGTGACTCCTCCCAGCCCTTTTTTAATGCTCATCAGAGTGGGAGTTTCAGGAGCCAGCAAAATCTGAGGAACAAATGGTCTAGGTAATGTCTGAAGTAGCTGTGTCCTAGTAATGCAGATTCCAATCTCCTTTAGCAGTGACTGTAAACAGCTACAGAGCTGGGGTGCTGACATACCTTGGACTGCATCTGCACATCCAGTTTTAGCATTATAAATATTCAGACATATTTCAGTCTAAAAAGAGATAGCCATTGTAGAATTTGTGAAGTTTTCCCCCGACTATAAATTAACAACATAAACAGCAGCTATCAGTACAATCAGTTTTCCTTTCATTTAAAGAAAGCTTGCCAAGAAGATTGACCACTTGTACTGTCCTCTTGAGGAAATACCTGCTGCTAGTATTCTTACATTTTGATTTCAATTAAAAAGTAATTTTTTTTTCATCAGCATACATAAATTTCAGTGAACCAGAAGGAGGAGGGGGAGGAAATCTCATTATTTGACATTTATTTCTGCAGCATCCAGTTTTACCCCCTTGGAAACTTAAGAAATAACTTCTACTGTGTAACAGGTTGTTAGATCCACTGCTAAGGGTAGCAAGTCACTGTGCTATATTGCCCTTACTACCCTTGCATACAACATTCAGTTAAAAAACAACCTGAAGTTACTTGTTTCCCTTTAAGTTTCCTTTAATATTTAACTAATTATTAAGGAGGAGGCAGCGTTTGCTTACCCTTTCCTGGAGGATTTGCCAAGTTTAACCAGATGCAGTAGAAATTTGTACTTTTTGTCTCAAATTTGCATGTGGGACAGAACTGCTCCTTGCTCTTCAGTCTGTTTGCAAAAGAAGGCTAGAGAACAGAAGTCATATGGAAAGCTACTTCTGAGTGTATTTGTTATTGCATTGGTACTAACACACTGGTATATTCTGCAGACTTGGCTGTAGGCAAAACTGAAAATTACTTGAATCTATTTCCCGAATCACATAATAATTAAGGTTGGAAAAAAAATTCCTAAATCATTGAGTTCAACCTCTAACCATCACCACCCTGCCAAATAACTCACAGCACTAGGTGCCATGTCCAATCATTTCTCAATGACTCCCAGGGATGGTGACTCCAACACTTCCATTTTAATGCTTGGCAAACCTTTCAGTGAAGGAAGTCCTCCTGATGTCCAACCTGAACTGGCCTGGGCACAGCTGGAGGCCATTTCCTCTTGTCCTGTTACTTCTTACCTGAGAGAAGAGGGCAAACCCCACCCAGCTATACCCTCCTTTCAGGCAGTTGTAGAGAGTGATAATGTGCCCCTGAGCCTCCTTTTCACCAGCCTGAACAACCCCAACTCAATGAGCTGCTCCTCCCAGGACTTGTGCTCCACTGCTTCACCAGCTCCACTGCCCCTCTCCAGACATGCTCCAGCAGCTCCATGTCCTTCCTGGAGTAAAGGGCCCAAAACTGAGCACAAGATTTGAGGTGTGGCCTCACCAGTGCTGAGTACGGGGGGTCAATCCCTGCCCTGCTCCTGCTGGCCACACCATTGCTGGCACAGGCCAGGATGCCATTGGCCTTCTTGGCCACCTGGGCACTGCTGGCTCATGCTCAGCTGCTGGCACCAGCACCCCCAGGGCCTTTTCCTGTGAGCAGCTTTCCAGCCACTCTGTATCAGCTTGTGGCACTTGTGGGGTTGTTCTGCATGAACTAAAAACAAGGTAGGCTATGACCACTGAACTTTTGAAATCAATATGTCTTCCAAACCTACATAAAATCAGGACAATTCAGTAATGCATGAAGAATATGTATGGGAGGCATAAGCTGTCTTTGCTACTCTTCCAATTAAAGTATACATAACTAACTTGCTGTAATAGCAGCACGTTAGAAAAGCACAGCAGAGTTCTGGAGTGCAAGATTCTGTTGTCTATAAAATGTATTTGGATTTCCAGCTTCTTAAACAAGAAGCTTCTAATGCTTTTCCACTTAATGTTTGAGTTTACAATGTCAGAAACCCAATTTGGTTGAATAACGTATGAAGTAACTTTCAAACAGTGCATGACACTTCACCCTATGTGACTTGTAACAAAGCTTTTTGTTTAAACTGAGGTCTTAGCCTAACCCTTGTACAAGTTCCCTTCATCAATGACTTCAACCATAACAAGACTTGGGTATAAAAAAATAATCTGAAGTTAGCCTGATGAACAAGAAAAGAACCAGACTCCCAGAAATCATACAACTCAGCATTCATTTGTAGACAAGTGATGTTATGTTTTAGGATTAAACCAAGTTATGTTTAATGAAAGTACAATATAACATTTATATCCCCTTAGTAGAGGTAGAAAGCCAGTGTTTTAATCTAATCCATTCAGATCAGAAATACTGATACCAGATACTGATTTATTGCTATTAGTGATAACCAAATTTGAGAGCTTATACTGTCAGCAAGGTAGCATGAATACAGTTGCAATCTCCAATATTCAGAGTAAAACATATCCATATCTGTAGTAAGACAATAGCAGATTCTACCAAGAATCTGCTGCTTCTTGTAAACATTGTATTTGTGCAGATGTTTAATTTCTAAAGTCATGAAAGGCAAGGTTAGTAGCAGAAAACACATCCAGTTTCACATTCGGCAATATAAGAACCCTGCTCTTCAAGGACAACTAAAAACCTAGCAGCACATTTCAAACAATATTACAAGTTTTTTCTTAATTACTCACCCTTCAAAGTCCCTCCCCCAAACCAAATCAAAACAACAAAAATCTGACACTAAAAATAAAGTGCAGTACCCAGAAAAATAAGTGTCAAGAAAATAGCCATGTTTGTTTCTTTGGGGGAAAAAAAAAAGGGAAATAAAGGAGTACTTGGCCTCAGTCTTAAAAGTACTATAATGTGTCCATCATTTTGGATTCTTCTTCATCTCTTTGTATCACAGAGTTGAAACTGCAGACATCTGTGTTTATGGAACCTTGTAGATCTCCTGTGTTCTGCAACAGATGAAAAACTGACAGCTTAATGCTTCATAATTACATAGATGGAGGGAGAAACAGAGAGAGAGAAACAGAGACTGTTTCCATTGTCCATGTTATGATGAGACAAATTTACAATAAAAAGGAAGTAAGATCTGAAAACATCCTCCACCAGTATTTTGTCACTATGTCAAGAATTTTTTAAATTTCCTAGCATAGCTTGTATTTGGTCTTAATACTTCTAGCACCTAACTGCACATTTATATAAAATTCAGCTGTTTGATCTGTTGATACCTCTGAGAGGTACTTTAGTCAAATTATTTCAAACAAGTACTTTCAATTGTGACTCCTTTCCTAATACATAATTTTTGACAATCTTTTAAGTTGTTTCTTCATTACAGAATGTGGCCCTAACTGGAACTGCAAAAAACACCTAAGTATACCCTTTAACAGGAAGACTTTCCTTAAACTTGACTTCTCTTGCCCAAAGAAGTTGTGAAGGCCTGGCTGGATGGGGCTGTCTGGCCTATGAAAGGTGTCCCTGCCGTGGCAGGGAGTTTGGAACTAGATGATCTTTAGGGTCTGCTCCAACTCAAACCATTCTATGACTCTGTAACTTACTTGACTGATCCCAGGATTTTACACTGCTAGTGGTGATGACTGGGAATACAGTTCTAAGATCTGATCAGATTTATCATGCAGTGTTTATTTTAGGAAGGAAAATGTAAAGGCAATGAACAAACATATACTTTTGACCTTTTGCTGATGCTGTGAATTCCAGCAAGTAAAAAGAAAGGCCATAAATGCCTTGTGTATTAATAAAACTGCATGATATATCCTAAGCACTGGCAATTCAAGAAATAATCCTCTTTATATCTCAGAAAGGTACAGCTTCTCTAGGCAGGACCTAATCCTACCTTAGTTCAATTAAATTTTGGAAATAATAAACCTACCTGTAAAAAAGATGTCCATTCTCCCACACAGCCAGGACTGACATTGAGATCATGGAGTAACATGGTCTGAAAGCCATGTGATTGTGACCAGATTCTCACTCTCGCCTTGAAAGCCTCAAGTTCACTTTTAAAGGCCTCAAAGTAGCCTTCTCCTGTCTGCCAAGAAAAAAATGAAGTATTCGTTCTTTAGCAATTTGTTCTTTTGAATTGTAAGCTTACACAGTGCTGAAAAAAAATCCAGGCAGTAATGACATGTTATACCTTTTGGGGAATAACAACTGTGAACAACTCAGGGATAAAGTTAGTCAATTTAAAGTTATCTTTCATGTAGATTTCTTTTTAAGACAATCTGTAGCATTTATATGCATAAGTAAAGTAGCTGATTTGTCTGAGAACATGTAAAAGCAAACCTAATTTTAGCCTGTAATTTATTCCAACTCAGAAGGTATCCTTACAACAGGTGCTTGTTGAAGCCCTTTGATCAAAAGTAAAGCACAAACTAACCCACATTTTAAGTATACTAGTTTAGGCAATATTAGCATCCATTAGAGTCTTGAACAACTAAACACAGTCTGTAACAAATCACAGTTTCAGTTTTCCCACCTTTTTCCTACAAAGCTCTGGATTGCCCTATTTCAGTCATGAGAAAGGGACACTTTATATAGCTGCCTCACAGTAAGGGGGAGACTTTGAAAACGTTTGTAATTAGTCAACAGTCAGACCAGTTTAAGATCAGTTGGTGTTTGCTGTTGTTACTTAGTTATTACTTGTCTGCGACACACCTGCTGTCCCCCAGCCGCATTTTGCTTTCCACCTACAACAAGCAAAATTCACTAAGCTTTCATTTAAGCAGAACCAGAATTATAACGAAATGTTCTATCTAGAAAATAATTGCTATCAAAACTCGTTCCCATAAGCCTAAATCAGTCAAAAAATTATTTAGCCTCACA